CCCGCGGCCCAGTCCACCTTCCGCGTGCTGGAGAACTCGGCCCCGCACCTCCTGGACGTGGATGGGGAGAGCGGGCTGCTCTACACCAAGCAGCGCATTGACCGCGAGGCGCTGTGCCGGCGCAGCGCCAAGTGCCAGCTGTCCCTCGAGGTGTTCGCCAACGACCAGGAGATCTGCATGATCAAGGTGGAGATCCAGGACCTGAATGACAACGCACCGGCATTCCCCTCTGACCAAGTGGACATGGACATCTCAGAAAATGCTGCCCCGGGCACCCGCTTTCCCCTCACCAGCGCCCACGACCCGGATGCTGGGGACAATGGGCTGCGCACCTACCTGCTCACCCGTGATGACTACGGCCTCTTCTCCCTCGATGTGAAGTCCCGTGGCGATGGCACAAAGTTTCCAGAGCTGGTCATCCAGAAGCCATTAGACCGCGAGGAGCAGAGTCACCACACCCTGGTGCTGACGGCACTGGACGGCGGTGACCCACCACGCTCAGGCACGGTGCAGATCAACGTGCGCCTCATTGACTCCAATGACAACAGCCCCGTCTTTGAGGCAGCCTCCTACGTGGTTGAGCTGCCGGAGAATGCTCCACTGGGCACTGCTGTCATCGACCTTAATGCCACCGATGCCGACGAGGGTACCAACGGAGAGGTGCTCTACTCCTTCAGTGGCTACGCACCCGAGCGCGTCCGTGATCTGTTTAGCATCGACCCACAGAGTGGCCTCATCCGTGTCAAGGGCAACCTGGACTATGAGGAGAGTGGTCTCATTGAGATCGATGTCCAGGCTCGGGACCTGGGGCCCAATCCCATCCCTGCTCACTGCAAGGTCACCGTCCGCCTCATCGACCGCAACGACAACGCACCCACCATTGGCTTTGTCTCCGTTCGCCAGGGAGCACTTAGTGAGGCTGCCCCACCGGGCACTGTCATTGCCCTGGTGCGGGTCACTGACCGTGACTCAGGCAAGAACGGGCAGCTCCAGTGCCGGGTGCTGGGCGGTGGCGGTGGGCCTGGAGCCATCCCTTTCACCCTGGAGGAGAACTATGACAACTTCTACACTGTGGTCACTGACCGGCCCTTGGACCGCGAGGCACAGGACGAGTACAATGTGACCATTGTGGCACGTGATGAGGGCAACCCCCCACTCAACTCCACCAAGTCATTTTCTGTCCGGATCCTCGACGAGAATGACAATCCACCCCGCTTCAGCAAGAACCTCTATGTGTTACAGGTGCCCGAGAACAACATCCCCGGAGAGTACCTGGGCTCCGTCTTGGCCCAGGACCCTGACCTGGGCCAAAATGGGACAGTCTCTTACTCCATTCTGCCCGGGCATGTGGGCGATGTGTCCATCTACACCTATGTCTCTGTCAACCCCACCAATGGTGCTATCTATGCCCTGAGGAGCTTCAACTACGAGCAGACAAAGCACTTTGAGTTTCGTGTGCTAGCCAAAGACTCGGGTTCACCCCACCGTGAAAGCAATGCCACGGTGCGTGTTACGGTGCTTGATGTCAATGACAATGCACCCCTCATCGTCCTCCCTGCCCTCATCAATGACACTGCCGAGCTGCAGGTGCCACGCAACGCTGGGGTAGGCTACCCTGTGGGCACCGTCCGTGCCCTGGACAGTGACTTTGGGGAGAGCGGGCGCCTCACGTATGAGATTGTGGAAGGCAATGAGGAGCACCTCTTTGAGATGGACCCCACTAGCGGTGAGATACGCACCTTGCACCCCTACTGGGAGGAGCTCAGCCCTGTGGCTGAACTGGTGGTAAAAGTCAGTGACCATGGCAAGCCCAGCCTCTCCGCAGTGGCCAAGCTCATTGTCAGGGCCTTGGCAGGGCCCCTGCCCGAGGCTGGCGAGCCACAGGTGAATGGCGAGCAGCATCGGCGACCACACTGGGACTTGTCGCTGCCCCTGATCGTGACGCTGAGCACTGTCTCCATCATCTTGCTGGCTGCCATGATCACTATTGCTGTGAAGTGCAAGCGAGAGAACAAGGAGATCCGCACCTATAATTGTCGCATTGCCGAGTATAGCCACCCTCAGCTAGGAGGAGGGGGAGGCAGTGGCGGGGGAGGAGGAGGCAGTGGCAGTGGAGGGGGCAAGGGCAAGAAGAAGAAGATCAGCAAGAATGACATTATGCTGGTGCCCAGTGAGGGCGAGGACAGCCGGGGCCCCCTCAATGTCATGAACGTGGTGAGCAGCCCATCCCTGGCCACCTCACCCATGTACTTTGACTACCAGACCCGCCTGCCCCTCAGCTCTCCCAGGTCTGAGGTGATGTACCTGAAGCCCGCCTCCAACAACCTGACTGTACCCCAGGGACATGTGGGCTGCCACACCAGCTTCACAGGGCAAGGGACTAACGCCAGCGAGGCTCCCCCGAGCCGGATGTCCATAATTCAGGTAGGAGACTTTTAGAATACCCTGGACCTCACTTTAGACGCTGGTTTAACTTCACCTTTTGTCTGCAGTGAAACCTGCTGTAAGGCACCACTGAAGGGACCAACACAAGTCACTAAAGGGAGGTGGACTTAATGAAAGTGGAACCAGACCACATATGGTAGGTCTGGTTCTGCTGTCACACTGGTGATTCCCGTGTGATTCAGCAGTAAATGCCCACTGAAACAAACAAGCAGAGTTACGGCAGTGCAAAAGAGGTGCATGTGAGAGTGCAGGCAGGCATTTAGTACGTTTGGGGCACACTGGGGTATGTTCCCAGAAGATCGTCAGACAGAGGTGGGCACTTCCACAGGTTTCACTTTGCTTTGGTTTGGGGTGGAGAAGGGGGAGGGTGTTTCTGAAGCAGTCATATCATCTGCAGTAGCTAACAGGACGTGGGAGAAACTCTACACACTGAGGACATCTATTGCAACAGTGTATTATAGCCCTCCAATCCTGTATGTAAATATGAGCTATCTTTCCAAAATGTATGTTTTTAATTTTTTTAATTTCCTTCTTTAGAATATATATATACATAAATATTTATTTTTTTTGACACAGAACAGTATCATTGGGGCCCCATTGCCTCCTCCTCTCCCCATAAAAAAACAAACCTTCAGCGCTGAAAATTTTGCTTAGTCAAATAGAAGGAAAATGTATGTGGTGATTCCCTCCTACCCCCAAATGTTAACAAAACTCACATCCTGTCATAAAACAGCAAAACAACTAGTCAGATTTCCAGTAGCCTGAGTCAATATTGATGACTGCTTTATGGTGAAAGACTTACATGCTCTCTCTTCTACCAAAGCTCATTTAGAAATTACAGCTGGGCTGCATTCTGCTACCAGTTATACCCACACTGTCCTCTACCGACTTTTCTGAATGTGAGACATGGCAGAATTTGGACCATTGGATATAGGGTGCTAATCAAAGAATGACTTAATTTTTAGCAGGTAGTTTAAAAGTCCAAACTCAGAAGATGTATTCCAGAGCAGTGAACTCACAGAGTGAAGGTGAGGGCAGAATTTGGCTCCAGTTGGTTTAATTTAAAGTATTACTCCATGATTAATGCAGCTTAATGTTCAAATACTACAGGTATGTTCCAAAGTGATTTTTAAAGTTTGGATTGAAAGCAGGCTCTGGATAATGACTATTAAATATATTTGAAATGTCATATCTGTTTTATCCTGTGGTTCTCCTAATATGCTGTTCTGAGTCATAGGGGAATGAGCTGAGTGTATCAGAAGTGACACAGACTCATTTTGTGTATGCAGCTAGTGGGAAAGAAGTTGCACTGTAGACACTTGATGTACTAAAAGAAAATTCATAATACCTTTGAGTTATCATACCCTGCGGTCTGTGAACACCGAATGTTCTAGTTGCCAGCTGCATCTAATGTTTTAAACTAAATAGAAGTGGTCATCGGTAACTGGTAGGTTAAGTAACCAAAATTCCAGTAACTGATGGCCTGTAAATTGAATATTTATAAATGGGAAAAAAAAAATAAAAGAAAAAAAAAGAAAAAAGGCTGTCTGTACAAGGTCACTGTGAACTAATCCTCAACCCACCATTGAGTTGTGTCACAGAAACAATTTCATTTTATGCCTATCATGAATTTGTGTTGCTATCAATTAGGTGAGTGGAGCAATACTTAAAATCTGAAATTGATTTTAACAAAAAGTGACACTTCAGGGAAGAGTTTAGTTTAGGGCACAACCGGAGATAATTTGATTTATAATTCATGCTTTAAAAAACAAATAACTTTCAATGACACTTGTTTAAGTAATGTCAACTTTTTACTGTAAAATGGAGTTGTCAGAATGCTTAAAAAAAAAGAACTTTTTTTTTTCCTACTGACAAGTGTAATAGTTACTAAAGGACAGAAAATTATACTTTCCTACAACCATGTAATGTCTATATAAAGCAATTAATTAATGTATTGATGCTACTGAGTAGTAAAGATTCAATTGTAGTGTAAAATCCCTATGGAAAATATGATTCCTTTTTTTACAGTGTTCACTGTATAATATCAATCATGATTTTTTTTCCTGAGATCTATATAAAGCTAAAAGAGGAATTTCCTCCCTTAAAAAGGTGTGTTGTGGTTTCTATAACAGTTTTCATTATGACAACTGTGGGAAATATTAACTGTAACTCCTCATAGCACATACTGGTATATCTAATATTGTTTTTGCTTTCCCTGAACATCTACACACAGTGTTTTGGGGCTTTAGATGGTCCAGCCAGTAGATTAGGAAACATTAATTTTTCCCTAGTGAACAGCCCGTTCAAACGTACTTATTGATACAATATTTTGTAGTTGTATTGACAAAACAAATATACATTCTGTAACAGAGTAGTTGGGTTTTATTTAAGAAAGGTCCAGACTTGAAGAAGCTAGATGAGAAAATCTGATCCTATTCACTGTAATTTTGCATTATTAGAATACTTTTTGTATTCTCCATCTCCACATCCCTGGAGTAAATTTTATATAAAATTTGCATTTCGAATGTAGAAACTACTTTGTGTCTGGTCCTGTACTTCTGCCTCATGTAAAATTCAAACTGCAAACTTAGGAAGAAATAGTAAAGGAACAGCCCTCTCTCTGGATCTACTATAACCTTAATCACTCCAGGAAACCTGTGTCTGGGAAAGTAAATTGCACAGTTAGGAATCAAACGTATAGCCAGTGGAAAAAAAAAGATACAGAATCCAAACAGCTGCTTTATCATCTCCTTTCATTAGTCAATACAGAAAAGCAGTTTTCTTTGTTACCTCAGTAAGGGAAAGGTAAACAACTGTGTAAGAGTTCTTTAGTGAATATTCACTTTAGTTTTTCCAGATATATTACTGAGCCATGATAATCTCACACTTTATAATTCATACAATGGAGCTGCTTTTCTTCACTCTCATTTTCTCAGCAAGTGTTTAATGGCAGAATTCTCTAGCAGGAGCCTGTTATTAAAACTTTATGTTTATTTTTTATGTATGTATATAAGTACATACTTATATATCCATGGATATATATACACATACTAAATATTATATTATTACTTAGTACATCCAACTGAGTCTATAAATATTTAAAATCAAATAAATAATTTCTCTCTCAGTAAGATCCAAATTTTCTCACTCTTACTAGGTGTGCATAACACTTTTTTTGCTTTGCAGTAAGAGGTAGTAAAGTCAATAGGCTTTGTGATTCCCTTCTCATGAATAGTGTTTTATTCTACAGATAGACCAATTTATATCAACAAATACCTGTGGAGTAAAATGTTACTTAGTGACTATGGGTTTCAGGCTGACCCAAAATGACCAGCAGTTAAAGAAAATATTTGCTGATATGTGTAAGAGCAGTGTAATCTTACCTCTCTTTAAGTGACTTCTTCTATACATTAGTCACAGTTTAACAACTTGTGTGTTTAGGCACTGCTTCGTAGTATCCAGCTATGTGCCATGGTTGCATGCTTTACTTATATGAATCAATGAACTTCAGTACCATAAAAATTAAATAATTTAAACATGTATATATATATGTGTAAAAATTTGAATGAATAGCCAAAGGTGCAATATACCTCCAGCTTTTATGGGCACAGGAGACTTGGAAGTGCTTAGGGCCTCTGAAAATAGAGCATTTGTGATTTCACGCACACATGAGGTTAATGTGGATGAAGAACAGTGTTTAGTAACGCACTGTGAAGTCAGAACAGCTACACTTTAGCATGTTTCATTGCTTTTAACTTCAGCGATCATATTCTAAACATACTTTAGAAACAGTGCTTTCAAATGCAAGTCAATTAAAAATATTTAAATATAGTCCAGTATTACACAGACCTCATTGCCAGATTCAAAATTCCATGCAACCTTTGAATCACTTAAGATCCAAACTATTCATTTTTATGGGGGAGAAAAAAGAGGAAAGCAGGAGAAAATGGAAACTCTACGTGGCTGAAAGAAGATTTCTTTTCATTCTAGACCTTAAAGACTACTGGGCAAATTCTGTTCGTCTCATTCTGGTGAGTAAATCAAGCTGACCTACTCACCTGACTAAGAGAAACAGGATTTTGCTGTATTTTGAAGAGCAGTCATTATAACAAGAAATATCATGTACAAACATACACATATATGCTCATATGTCTCTTACCAAAAAGTTCGGAGTTAATCAGTTCACCTTTCCCTGGGTGAAAGAGTTGCAATTTCTTCTTGCAGGTTTCCAACAGATAAAAGAGTGGATGGATAAAGGGAAACTAATAGTTTCTTTAAACAAATAGGTTCTAGAAAAAGGTTCTTTGAAGTGCCATAATAGTAGTGTAGAAAACTATCTACATATGCAAGGGGTGTTGATCATCCTAGAGGTTATTTATTACTACACTTGTGGTGCAACTTGGTGAGGTTTGTAAATATATCAGGAATGAGATGGAAGTCAGTAAAGAAAACAGTGGTCACAGCTTTTGCTAAACAACAGCTAAAAAAGAATGACTGTGTTGCAAGTAGCACTCAAGCTGGAAATCACTGTAGCTGCTGTACTAGGCAGTCCTGTAGCATTTTAAGATAAAGTACAGATCATTCTTAATACTTCAGGCATCTGATGTTTATGATGTGTCAACAGATTACTGTCAAGTCCCAGTGCAGCTTCGTCGCCAGGTGTCTAGTAGTACCCAAGAAAATAGAGTCTTCAGGGGAAATAAAAACTATAAGCTATATTAGTGCTGCTCTGTCTTTAGATATACTATTCCATGCTTTGTTTTGAGAAACTTCAGCTCAGAAATTTCAAGATTGCAAAAAGAAATCTGTGGCTGCTGCAGTATAGGGAGAAACAGCTTTCCTCACAGAAGTTGCACTCCTTCTCAGTGGTTTAAATTCCTATCTGAAAACTGGTATTAATTTTTTATTTATATATCTTCTGCTTCAAATGAAGAATATTATTCTTTCTGACTAGAACTAGTAAAAGTTAACATTTTGTA